AATGTGATAATCTCAAAAGAAGTTTTGTTTCATTTTGAATAAAATATCTGCAGCTGAAATTTGAAGAAAATTGCAGAAGGCTTTCAAAAAACAGGCTATGTCTAAAATAGAAATTTGTAAAGTATATAAAATATTTACGGAGAGTCGAACCAACACTTTAAAAAATTCAAAAATTAAGGAACAACTGGTGCTGTTGCATTTTTTAATAGATGAGCCAACATCATTTTAAGAGAATATTTGTGGCTCGCTAAAGTCAATTCTCGTTTGGTTTCAAAAACACTGCACCCATGACTAATACACCAAAAGCCTGACGAGGTATATACATACTTGTATATATAAGATATATTAGCAATAGTATGGATTTCCATGAATTTACTGCAAAGCTCTTCTGGATATTTAATAAATTATAAAGTCATTTCTCGGTATAAGGCTTAGACACGATGGAGGACATTTAAGCCGAATTTAAGATTAAGAAGGCACTGTTGGCAATTCTAGAAGTACAATTTTCAGATTGCTTCAAGGAATGGGAAAAATATTGATATGCATTACATCGCGATAAAATTAATTACAAGTTAATAAAGTCGATTTTAATAAATATATAAGAATTTTAAAAGGTCAAACCAAATTCCGGGTCGTTTAAAGAAGTACCTTTCTATACAGTAGTATATAGAATTGTATAGTGTAAGAAAGAGAAAATATATACTATTTAGTACATAAGTATACTTTAACAAAACAGCTAGCAGATAAGCAACAAAATGTATAAAAATATAAAACTTTTGGAAAATATGATTAAAATTAGATTAGAAGTTAAGGTGAGCGAGCATTCATGTGCTAGCAATATTAAGTATATAACTAATTCACACGACATATTGACTTTCTACATTTAAAAATTCTCTATAAAATACAACAAAATTCAAATTGTTTACTCTGTTTAAAGTTGGCTATTTTGTTTATCTACGGAAATAAATAAACATAAAGATAACATGCCATAACCACTACATTCTCATTTCTCTCTCATTTACATATAGTACTCGTATATATTTAAATTTATTGTTATTTTCCATTCGTTTTCAACTTGACTTTAAACTGACAAATACTCCCAAGTTTGTAATTTGTTCCATTGACTTCCATAACTCTCCTTTTTAAATTATGTTTATCGTATAATCATCGCAAAAAAATTATGCTTGGTCTCTGACGAGGCGAGAACTCTTCGCGTGCATAATTTCGCAGCAAAGAACATTTTGGGAAAATCTGCAATTTATTGTGCGCAGCAGTTTCCACCCACCATTTGAATATTGCAGCCCAGTTCCCCCCCTGTTCTGTGTTTTATAACACTGGCAAAAGTTGTCGCTGCCTTTGGAGCGCCCGCAGTCAAAATGCATTTCTAATTCGGCTAGTTATGGTCTGTCGTAACTTTTAGCAATTCGCCGGCAAATGTTCACTTTGGAAATTGGCAACAGTTGCAACAAATTATCGCACCCAGACATGCACTTCAAGAAGACACATTCATTCATTCAATGGGCGAATGGAGGTTAGTTCCCTTTGAAATGCTCGTGCATTTTAATAATTAATAACAATTTAGCATGCACTTAATTTTAATTATTACTCAATTAGGTCAGCGCCGTTACAATTTAAGCACCCAGCGCAAAGATAATTAAACGCGCGCGTAATTAAACAATTTCCAAGCGGAATGCCGCACACAGAACCAAGCACCAGGACCAAGACCAAGACCCATGGTCCTGCTTTCGTCCACAAAGACGACGACGACGATGAAAATGAAGAAGACGCTGTCAGTTGCGTCATTAGAGGCGCTTTGTGTGTAAATTTGATTTCATAATATTTTGCCAGTGTTTCGCCTCGATTTGACGCTTTTACGATGCACATAAATTTTACGACCAAGTTGAAATTATGAATAGTTGACGAAGTGCTTGTGAGCGCTGGTCACCAGCTCGAGCTGGCGAAGATAATGAAAACTAGCACTGTACTCCATGTCGATATTTATGCATTAGTTTATGGTTCGAAAGTGTAATTCTTATTAGTTTTGGGGCAGAAAATCGGAAAACATAATGAAAGCAGGCACTGCACTCCATGTCGATATTTTTACATTAGTTTGTGGTTCAATAATGTAATTCTTATTAATTTTGGGGAAGTTAATTGAAAAACATAGCATTAGTTTTCGGTTCGAAAATTATATAAATTAGATTATATATAAAAATTAATTCCAATAACGTTTTGTGCAGAAAATGGAATTGGCGAAGATATGTCGATATTCTTGCATTAGTTTATGGTTCGAACGTGTAATTCTTATTAGTTTTAGGGAAGTTAATTGAAAAACATAGCATTAATTCCTATAAGGTTTTGTGCAGAAAATGGAATTGGCGAAGATTATGAAAACAAGCACTGTACTCCATGTCGATATTCTTTCATTTTAGGAAATTGCACAGAGAATTGCACTATCGTGCTTACTCGACTATTCTGTTCAGATATAAGAACAAATTTTAATATTTTTATAAATTTAAATTTTTTTTCAACTTTTTAAAACTTTAAGAACATTTTACAAATACTTTTCTTCCATTTAATTTATTTGTATTTATAATTAATGTTATCTTTTAAATTGTGTAATTTTTTGAACAATGGTCTAGTTTCAAATATTTACAGCATTATAGTAGGAGTTCAAAATTCCAGGTAACTAAAAATTTGGTAAGCCTATACAAGTAACCCTTCAAGCACTCTTCTCCCATTTAATTTATTTGTATTTATAATTAATGTTCTATTTTAAATTGTGTAATTTTTTGAACAATTGTCAAGTTACAGTAGGAGGTCAAAATTCCAGATAACTAAGAATTTGGTTCAGAAAGCAATTTTCCAATTAAAAACTCGCACTCGTATCTGCTTGACTTAAAAGACTGAACCAAAACTACAGAAATAGTCGGCAAATATTAAACTAGTTACAAATTTGTACTATGAAAAATATTGCTTTAATAAAAACTTTGGGTAAGGCTAAGTGGTTGCCATTGGTTTTTACCTTCCCCGACAGCTCCTTGTTTTCCTTCATACATTTTGCAGTAATGTGCTGTGTTTTTTATTCGACCCTAAGTCTATTTCCATACCTGACGATGTGGCTCGTTTGGGCCAAATGTCATTTGCTTACGAGTTCATTTCCGATGCCGCTCAGATTCGTTGGCATCAGCCATATAATGCGTAATGCATTTCGAGAGTCTCGGGAGCTTTGCGCCCTCTGCCGCGATACACGATTCCATTAATTTATTTAACGTGTTCAAATTGAAATGGGCGGAGACAAAACAATTTGAATGTCATTAGGCGAGTCACAGGAATAGAAAAAAACAACCTATAGAGCACGTACACACATACATACATTGATATCTTTTTATGTGTGACGCATGGGAAAGCTGAACTGCTGTAAAAATAAAGAAAGAAGTGAAACTGTCGAGCATGGGCGACCGTTAAATACCCTAGACTGCTGTGCAGAAGAGGGGGAGAAAAAGAGCGTCTGTTTGTGGGTTCTACTTTTAACCGATTTGGATGAAATAGGATTTGAAATAGAGGTAGAGAATTGCAGATGAAATATGTTTGCAAAGTTTATTTCGTGAAATTGTGAACAGCACTGAAGAAATGATTTAACAGTCTAAGGAAAGTAGAAAATAAAACAAACTTGTATTGCCTAGAAACTAGTAGAGTCCATGTATATTCGTTTATCACATATTGACATGAGAAGTCAGCCGTTCATCCAGACAAACGGCCGTTCTGTTTAAGAGTATGCACTCTTTATGGTGTCGAAGCTGCTTCCTTCTCATATAACCTTTTTACCCTTCGTGTGCAGGGTATAAAAAGAAAACAACAACTAAAAGAGAAAGGAGAAAGGCGAAACATGTCGCAGGCGCAGCAACAAAAAAAAATAAATAAAACTTCATATCTGATTGAATAATAATGTGTGCTTAAGGATTTAATGTGCTGCTGGCAGCTGCTGAGCCCAACACGAGCCTCGAGTATTTGTGCGTGGTCCTTACATCTTTTTTTTCGTTTTCCTTGCCCTGACTTTTGCTCTGACTGTCTGCTGTAAATAACGCTTGGGAAAATGCAAAATTACAAGAGCGACAACAACGAAAACAAACATAGGAAAAACATTATTGAAGTCTGTCGCCCTGCGAGCGCCGTTCCAAAGAGTCTTACACTTTTCCACGTTGACATCCTGCGCCCAATGGGGAATTTGTTTGCCTGATGCTGATTGCCAAAAAAGTGTAAGAGACATACATTTAAATAACGATGCTGAGCAACTATTTTTTGGCACAAGCCAAGAAAAATTGAATTTTCTTATCACACGTTTGCGAATTAACACAACTAAGTAAGTATGAGGCGAATCATACTCCCAATTCCAAGTCTAACTTCGTTTACCTGGGTGCTAAGCTCATTTGAATTTCTAATGCCAGTTTTCACTTAATTCTAACACACACTTACATGCACACTCTCTTCCATGTTTATACCCAATCTACCCGATGGGTGAAAACTAAAGCTAAAACTAAAAAGCCGGTATGTATATAATATCCGTCTGTATGAACGTCGATAACTTTTAAGCCATACTAGCTAGAGACTCTAAACTTGGCATCTAGTCTGGTCTTTTCCATATACAAATCAAGTATGTCCCGCACTATACATAGAAATATTATTTCATATAGCTGCTATAGAAACGATAAGTGTGAAAATCACTCTGGATATAGACATCGTTACCGAAACCACTCTTGGTTAGAAAAACTTTTCTTGTATAAAGACATACTTAGTTACCAAGCTCGATATTTAAGTGATTTTAAAAATTTCTCTTTACATCCCCCCCCTCACACCAGTAACCCACACAATCAAGTTTCTCTTCTTAAAAAACGGGTTCAAAAACTAGAAATTAGCAACAATATTCACGATTTATAAATTCCTCTCAATTAGTTTCCACATATCGAAACCATAATTAACCTTAAATATAAGAAAAAGTATAAATTTTTTATATTTATTTATATTTTCAATAAAAAAAGATAGTCTGGCATTGAAAATTTCAATCCATTCAAATATATTAAATATAGTTCATCTCCTTTAGGGGCATTACGTTTTGCTTAAATTTTCCGATTACGTTACCAGCAGGTGCATAATTAACAACCACCACTGTTTTTTTCTTCCTTAAATATTAAGAGAATTATTAGAATTATTATTTTATAAACGAATGAAAATCACTTACTGGGTATATTTTCCAACGCCTAAGCTGGCGGTACTTTTCCAAACGCTATACCAGGAGGCCACGCAATCAAATTTCGGGCCAGTTGTAGAAAATAAATTCTCTCCTAATCTACCTGTACTATGCTTGAATATGCCTTCCACAGCCAATTTCTCTGCCCACCCAGCCGCAAGCATAGTCATATTTATATTTAGCTTCAGAGGAGGAACATCGTGCAATTTTCGATATTTGTTGTGATCGTTCAATATATCTTCTTCAAAACCCGATAAAACCTATTTACACAATAGCCAAAATATTGTTTAATACATTTTAAAATTTATTCTTTCATACTCACGAACGACAGACTAACCAATATCAGCAGCGGTATTATAAACATTTCGCTAGCCTCTAATGAAACAAATTTAACTGACTCTTGCGTTCTAACTCTTATCAGAAAATGTTACACTTGTTAAGCTCATTAGTTAGAGTCGTTTGAACTTATTTCTGGTTTTTAGTGCCTTGTTTTCAACGTCTTTATTGGTTGGTTCGGTGGGTAAAAAAGTAATAATAAACAATACACCAGCAGCAAAATTAATTACTTCGAAACTATTTGTTTGTTGTTATATTTAAACAATGCCCGAGGATCGGTGTAGGTTGGTGTTAATATTTTGTGATTTTATTTAATGCGGCTCACAGGTGTGCTTCCATACATTTCAGTAGTCAGGGAAGAAGAGAAACAAAAACTAAAACAAGGGCTGCAAAGGCACAAATTGTGTATCGATTAATCAATTATCGACACTATTAACTAAATATAACAAGTTCGAACGATGTTCATAATTTTTTCCCATGAAATATTTCAAATGGCAACTTATTTATCAATATATGCACTCACTTATTAAAAATGTGTTCAAAAACTAGAAAACTCACTTATAAAAGAAGCGTTTAAAAACTAGAAAACCTCCTTATAACATTTTTCTAATTAGTTTCGATATATAAGAACTAAAATTAGCCCTAAAAATAGAAAAAATGTTAAATTTTGTATATTTATTTCTATTTTAAATAATTGGACATCATCTCCTAATTTCGATCTATTCAAATCTATTAAATCAACACATGGTTTATAACCCACTTGCCTTTAGGGGCATTACGTTTTGTTTATACTTGCCCTTTTCATTACCAGCAGGTGCATAATTAACAACTACCACTGTTCTTTTCTTCCTTAAAAATTAAAAGAATTATTAGAGTGCAACTTTATGTTAATAATAACTTACTGTGTATATTTTCCAACTCCTAGGCTGGCCGTACTTTTCCAAATAACTTGGGTAAAGCGTTCGAATTTTTTGGGATTTGTGTGATTCTTGAAATCGTAATCCTTGCCCTCTCTATACCAGGAGCCCACACAATCAAATTTCGGGGCAGTTGTAGAAAATAAATTCTCTCCTAAGCTACTTGTACTATGCTTGAATATGCCTTCCACAGCCAATTTCTCTGCCCACTCAGCCGCAAACCTAGTAATGTTTCCATTCAGCTTCAGAGGAGGGACTCCATGTAATTTGCGATATTTGTTGTGATCGTTCAATATATCTTCTTCAAAACCCGATAGAACCTATTTACACAATATCCAAAATATTGTTTGAATGCATTTTAAAAATTATTACTTCATACTCACGAACGACAGACTAGCCAATATCAGCAGCGGTATTATAAACATTTCGCTGGCCTATAATGAAAGAAATATAGCTTAGTCTTCGTGAAATAAATGTTCCACCTTTTAGTCAGTTAGTCTAATTAGTTACAGTCATTTCAAATGTAAAATTAATGTTTTTTTCCTTAAATGAAAGAATACTCAAATATCGCCTGTCTATAATTTTAAGCTCTTAAGTCTTGTCTTAAATGTAACTAAGTTATTCATTTATTTCCCCGTACCGATGAGCCATTCAACCAACTTTATCGTCAGTAGAACATCTTTCGTCTTTAATCGAAAAAACTGAAAACTTGGATAGCGTTTTATTTTACTTCGAAGTGTGTATTGCACTTATCGTTGTTCGTTTTATTTTTTTTTTTTTTTTAATAAGAAAAAATGTACTATGTACTTGTATTTGATTGTTTCCTGACAACAATTTGTCAGAGATATAACAAACTTTTTATTTAACATTTTTTAATCACAAATATCACAATCTTTTCTTGCCACGAATATATACATACAAAGGGTACATTAATAAATTGTTTTAAAGCGTTTTATATTGAGTCTAAGAAATATTCAATTTCACTTTTAAAAAGTTACAAAAAATAATATAGTCCACGTTCTGCCTATTTTAAATTTGATTTTGTTGAACTTATCGAATGAATGCTGTGGTAGAGGTTGGAAAAAACAAATCAGCCGCGACTTGCAAAAGTCGTGTCCGATATGCATTGACATTTAATTTGATTTATCTGGGGGGGCGTGAGAAACAAGTTGTTTAGAGAATACAAATTTTTCAGGTTAGTCCCATCTTGTCCGCCACTCCTCAATCTTAGACTATCTCCAAAGGTATTATGTTTGAATAGTTCTTTAAAGGCCCCTATTTTCGTCATGCCTACTTCAGTTACGATCTCAGGTCCTAGTAGACTAGAGTCTACTTAATTATATTTTCCACTAACAAGATTTCTAAGTATATAATTCGCAAATATTAGCAGCATTGTATCTAAATTAACAAATTCATTTCAGGATAGTATTTCGTATCAATTCAATGTCAAATGTATGTTTTTTTGTTTTGGTTTATTAGAGCTTCATTAAATTAAACGCTTTATGATATGTGGTATGTATACCACGTTATTTTTCAAATGTTATAAAAAAGAGAAGTACACATCTAATGCTGCAGCAAATCGACAGGTTAAATAAAATACAAAAACGGAAATTGCGAGCTAAAACCGTTGTACCGCGAAAATGTAAATAGAATTAAATGCCAATCATGTTGCTAACCAAATCCTATTTTGTAAGTATTCAGCCACAAAAACCATATCAAACGGACATCAGGAGTATAGTTGGCAACCAATTCCAACCGCTTAACCTTTCCACTCCAGCCTTAACTAAAGAACAAGAAAGTTGTACTTGAAGCTTTAATTGGATGGAAACTCGCATTAAAGCCATTTGATGCGAACTTGAAATATTGATGTGTATATATATATATTTATTGCCAGTAAAAGCAACAATTACGATGCACGATAAGATGAAAAGTATCCCATAGTCTGTTCTATTAATATACTAAGGACAATAAACTTGGCATTCAGACTTGTCTCATCAAAAAGCCAACAGAGCCCTTGGCAAATGAAATATAAAATACAGTTCATATATAAGTTAAAGTCTTTAATTATCAAAATTTACTCGGGTTGTGTGAATTATTTTCATATATTACAAAGTGCTTTCAACTTTTCCCTTCAACTCTTTCTATACGCGTTCCTATATACCCCTCCTAATTCGGTAGCAATTTAGAAAAGTTCTCTTTGAAACAACTGCCTAATTAAAACACAATCAATTTGGTAATACAGTTTAGTAATAATGCAGTAGTTTTATTGATAGTAGCATTACCAGCGGTAAGCATTCCAATTGAAAGAACCCACCCAACAGACATTAGAGTCACAACTATAGATATATTTTTTTTTACCTTTACCTTATCAGAAGCAAGAGTTGTCTTTGTAAAAGCTGCCAAATATGTATTTTGCTATCTTTTTTTTTAAAAAAATCCAAGCAATGAACCAAAATTTCCTCGCGTTTTTATTATTTATACTTTTGCCGGCGGTAAGAGATTGGATCGCAAAATAAACATTTGCTATATCTGTATTATATTTATTATTCAAATCAGATTCATGGTGATTTTGAAAACTCAATACTTGACGACCACAATTATTATAGAGCGAGACACAATGCTCCTAAATTGACGTTAAATGCTAATCTGAGCTCAGGCTGTGCTTCGTATGCTAAAGTAAAGACTCTTCAGATTAATCACATTATTATTAATCTTCAATTTCGTTGAAAAGGAAATTGCGGCTAAGAATAGTCTTGACCATTCAAAAGGCAATTATGGGGAGAATCTGTGTATGACATCTGCCAATCCAGTAACATGTGTGAAAATGTGGTACGACGAAATCAAGGACTACGATTACAGGAATCCAAAATTTTCACCAACCACTGGCCACTTTACTCAAGTGGTTTGGAAAAGCTCCAAAGAGATGGGGGTTGGCAAGACCAAGAGGTAAGTGTTGGCAAACATTACAGAAAACGTTCCTCATTAACACTTTAAGTATTATTTGCGAAGTTCGGATGGAGCCATCTGGGTGGTAACCAGATATTTACCTCGCGGAAATTGGATTGGGGAGTACGAGGAAAATGTGCTGCCGGCATGGTGAAGATTGAATTGCTTGAAAACTGTATTTAAACAATTAACAATTGTTCCTCCATTATACTTGTAGTAGCGCGAAGTTAGAGTGTGCATGTTTCTTATTATTCTTGTGGATGACAGCCATTTGAACGATTGGAGTACGATAATATAAAACATAGTTTTTTTTTCCACGGCTGCAAGCAAATATAGTATTGATTACTGTTTAATAATATTAGTGTTGTTCTGTAGTTCTTACTTTTTAATTTCGCAGATCATTCGACAATCACCATAAACGACGAGAACGAAGCTGGCATGCCCCCTGCTCGATTGCGAACAAGTTGAATTACTTTGATTGAATTTTTGGCAGCGTGATCGAACTTACTCGACCATACCCGGCACAGATCTCTGGTTCACAATAGAGCAGATTTTGAGAGTCTAGCACAGCTAGTTGGTCGATAACGATTACATATTATGAGCTATCACTGGCAGTGCTTGCAAGCATAACCATGCAAGATTAACTTCTGCAGACTAGTGTTCATACCGGCTCGATTCAGCGGACTATTGGATGTTCAGACGTGCATCAGTCATCGAGTCGAAGCTTTACCTTTTTTACACTCATCCAGCAAAAGTTGACTTTGTAACAGCTGCCAAATGTTTTGTTATCGATCACATAGACTAACAAATTTTGTTTATTATTGATAGAAATGAACCAAACTTTCTGCGCGTTTTTATTATTAATAGTTTTGCCAGCGGTAAGAGATTGGATCGCAAAACAAACTACTGCTACATTTTTATTAATATTCCTTATTCAAATTAGATTCATGGTGATTTCGAAAACTCAATGCTTGACGAGCACAATCATTATAGGGCGAAACACAATACTCCTAAATTGACGTTGAATGCTAATCTCAGCTCAGGCTGTAATTCGTTTGCTAAAGTAAGGAGCTTGCAGTTTAATCACATTATTATTAATCCTTACTTTGTTGAACAGGAACTTGCGGAAAAGAATAAGCTTGCCCATTCAAAAGGCCATTATGGGGAGAATGTATGTATGACAACTTCTAATCCGGTAACATGTGTGAAAATGTGGTACGACGAAATCAAGGACTATGATTTCAGGAATCCTAAATTTTCACTACTCTCTGGCCACTTTACTCAAGTGGTTTGGAAAAGCTCCAAAGAGTTGGGTGTTGGCAAGGCCAAGAGGTAGGTTTCATAACGAAATATCGCAAATATTTATAATAGCTCACTGAGTAACAATTTCGCAGCTCACAAGGAGCAACCTACGTGGTAGCTAGATATACGCCGGCCGGAAATGTCGATGGAAAGTTTAAGGAAAACGTGCTGCCCTTAAGGTAACAAATATTTCACTACAGCAATATTTCAATATTTATTTAATTGTTTCTTTATTACAGTGGCACGAAGCTCGAATGCTCCTACTTTATATTGTTATTGATAACGATCTTATTCTTATTCAAATAATATTGAATTATCGATGGTGCTTAAAATTTCCTGCCGATCAGATCAATTCGAATTTTGAATGTTATATGTTTTGTGGTTCTAATATTATTCACTTCAAATACACATACACCTAGCCCTCGCTAAACACGACCTCTTTGAATAAGAACTCGGTCTAACACGATTAAAAATTTGCTACCTTTCCTCTTTCAACACGCTGAAATCCTCGTTCTGCCTCGATTTCGCTTAATTTGATTGAATTTTTGGCAGCTCTCCGGTTCACACTGCAGCAGATTTAGAGTTCTGTTCTTTTCCACGACAATCTATTACAGCTGCAAAAATCATGTATCGCGTTGGCCGATAACGATAACATATTGGGGGCTATCGCTGGCACTGCTTGCAAGAACCAGGACTAATCTCTACAGGCGCAGTAGACCCCATCCGGCAGACTACTGGAAGCAAAAGTTGTCTTTGTAACAGATGCCAAATATGTACTTTTTTATCAATCACATTTAATCAGAAATTTCGCTTGATATTCATGGCAGTGAACCAAAATTTCTGCACGTTTTTGTTATTTATACTTTTGCCAGCGGTAAGAGATTGGATCGCAAAATAAACTACTGCTATATGTATGTTATATTTATTATTCAAATTAGATTCATGGTGACTTTGAAAACTCAGTGCTTGACGAGCACAATCGTTATAGGGCGAAACACAATACTCCTAAATTGACGTTGAACGCTGATCTGAGCTCAGGCTGTGCTTCGTATGCTAAAGTAAGGAGTTTGCAGATTAATCACATTATTTTTAATCTTCACTTTCGTTGAAAAGGAAATTGCGGCTAAGAACAGTCTTGACCATTCAATTGGCAATTATGGGGAGAATCTATGTGTGAGATCTTCTAATCCGGTAGAATGTGTGAAAATGTGGTACGACGAAATGAAGGACTACGATTTCAAGAAACCCAAATTTTCTTCGGCCACTGGTCATTTTACTCAAATGCTTTGGAGAAGCTCCAAAGAGATGGGGGTTGGCAAGGCCAAGAGGTAAGTTACGCAACGAAATATCACAAAGGTTTTCCATAGCCCATTGCGTCCCATTTCCGCAGTTCAGGTGGATTAATCTACGTGGTTGCCAGATATAAACCGGCCGGAAATGTCGTGGGAAAATTTAAAGAAAACGTGCTGCCCCTAGGGTAATAAATATTTTACTACAGAAATATTTCAACATTTATTTAACGATTTCTACCTTACAGTGGCACGAAGCCCGAATGTTCCTACTTGATAATGTTATTGTGGGTGATCTTGTTCTTATTCAAATAATAATGAGTTATCGCTTGTCCTCTTATATTTCCTGCCGATCAGATTAATTCGAATTTTGAAATGTTACTTTATATGTGATGTGATGATTCTAATATTATTAAATCGTAAATGTGCAAATACAAATACACCTAGACCTCGCTTAACACGATCTCTTTTAATAACAAGAGAGAACGCTACAGTAGAGCAAGCCCGCCAGTGAAGTACCCTGAACCCGCACCTGTTCAGTCACTGAGTTAAATGCACCCCTGGCAGAAGCAAAGCGAAGAAGAAGAGTGAACTTTATGCTGCAGCTTGTGGGCGTAGTACTAGAGTGAAATTGTTCAGCAAATAACTTTTCTGGAAATTTACCGCTTTGAATGAAATTTAAAAGAAAAGTAGATAATTATATAAGTAGATTAAAGTCTGGTTTCTGTAGCTTTTGAAATGTTGACAGTATTGACGAAATTCTATTAAATAAACTCGCTAGGGCCTAGAAGCGTTTTCGAAATTTAGGCGTCTATCCAGACAGACGTACTGACGTGTCTAGATCGAATTCTCTTGCCATGCTGATCAAGAATATATATACTTTATGGGGTCATCTATTACATACTCTTATGTTCTGTTCTTTTCCACTTGAGTCTATTACACTGCAAAAATCATGTATCGGGTTGGTCGATAACGATACAATATTGTGGGCTATCGCTTGCACTGGTTGCAAGAACCAAGACTAATCTATACAGAAAAGTGTTCACACAGACGCAGTAGACTCGTTTCTACAGACTATTGGAAGCAAAAGTTGTCTTTGTAACAGATGCCAATTATATACTTTGTTATCAATCACATTTAATCAGAAATTTCGTTTGATATTCATAGCAATGAACCAAAATTTCCTCGCGTTTTTATTATTTATACTTTTGCCAGTGGTAAGAGATTGGATCGCACAACAAATTACTGCTATATGTTTATTAATATTCATTATTCAAATCAGATTCATGGTGATTTTGAAGACTCAATACTTGACGAGCACAATCGTTATAGGGCGAAACACAATACTCCTAAATTGACGTTGGACTCTGGTCTGAGCTCAGGATGTGCTTCGTATGCTAAGGTAAGGAAATTGCAGATTAATCTCATTATTTTTAATCTTCACTTTCGTTGAAAAGGAAATTGCGGCTAAGAACAGTCTTGACCATTCAAGTGGAAATTATGGGGAGAATCTATGTATGAGATCTTCTGACCCGGTGCAATGTGTGAAAATGTGGTACGACGAAATCAAGGACTACGATTACAAGAATCCTAAATTTTCGGCAGCCACAGGCCATTTCACTCAAGTCATTTGGAAAAGCTCCAAAAAGATGGGGGTTGGCAAGGCCAAGAGGTAAGTTACATAAAGAAATATCACATTTTTTTTCCATGGCACACTGAGTAACATTTGCGCAGTTCAAGTGGAGCATACTACGTGGTAGCTAGATATACGCCGGCCGGAAATGTGGTGGGCAAATTTAAGGAAAACGTGCTGCCCTTAAGGTAACAACTATTTCACTACAGCAATATTTCAATATTTATTTAACTGTTTCTATATTGCAGTGGCACGAAGCCCGAATGTTCCTACTTGATAATGTTATTGTGGGTGATCTTGTTCTTATTCAAATAATAATGAATTGTCTAATATTTGCTGCGGATCCGATTAATTCGAATTTTGAAATGTTACTTTATATTTGATGTGCACTTATAAATATACACCTAGCCCTCCCTTAACACTACCTCTTTTAATAAAAACTCGGTTTAATACTTGGTTTAATACCTTTTTAAAAATTTGCTACCTGTTCGTCTGGCAGCGGCTTTTAACACGCTGAAAGCCTCGTTTTTTCACGTAAGAAGTACAAAAATATTAAATAATAGAAGCGTATTACTTTAACTCAACTTTTGATTTGATTTCATTTTTGGCAGCTCTCTTCTTCACACTGCAGCAGATTTTATGTTCTGTTCTTTTTTACTCGAATCTATCACAGCTGCAAAATTTGTGTGTCGGGTTGGTCGATAACGATGACATATTATGGGCTATCGCTGGCACTGCTTGCAAGAATCGCCACGCCGGATTAATCTCTACAGTGTTCACCCCGACGCAGTAGACTCGATTCGGCAGACTATTGGACATTCACACGTGCAGCAGACGAGTCGGAGCCACTGTAACTTCACCTTTTCTACACTCAGTTGTCTTTGTAACAGATGTAAGATATATATTTTGTAATCGATCACATTAAATCACCAATTTTGTTTAATAGCAATGAACAAAAATTTCAGTTCGTTTTTATTATTAATACTATTGCCAGCGGTAAGAGATTGGATCACAAAGCAAACCACTGCAAGATGTTTACTATATTTATTATTCAAATTAGTTTCATGGTGATTTTGAAAACTCAGTGCTTGACGAGCACAATCGTTATAGGGCGAAACACAAGACTCCTAAATTGACGTTGAACGCTGATCTGACCTCAGGCTGTGCTTCGTATGCTAAAGTAAGGAATTTGCAGATTAATCACATTATAATAAGTCTTGAATTCTGTTGAAAAGGAAATTGCTGATAAGAATAAGCTTGAGTATTCAAAAGGCAATTATGGGGAGAACCTATGTATGACATCTTCTAATCCGGTGGAATGTGTGAAAACGTGGTACGACGAAATCAAGGACTACGATTTCAGGCATCATCGATTTTCATTCGGCACTGGCCACTTTACTCAAGTGGTTTGGAAAAGCTCTAAGGAGTTGGGTGTTGGCAAGGCCAAGAGGTAGGTTTCATAAGGAAATATCGCAAATATTTATCATAGCTCATTGAGTAACAATTTCGCAGTTCAAAAGGAGCAACCTACGTAGTAGCTAGATATACGCCGGCCGGAAATATCGATGGAAAATACAAGGAAAACGTACTGCCCTTAGAGTAACAAATATTTCATTAAAGCAATATTTGAATATCTATTTAACTGTTTCTATATTACAGAGGCACGATGCCCGAATGTTCCTACTTGATAATGTTATTTTGGGTGATCTTATTCTTATTCAAATAAGTATGAATTATCGCAGGTCCTGTAATATTTCCTGCCGATCCGATTAATGAGTTAATTAATTAATTAATTTTTTTTGAAATGTGTGCAGTAAAAGTTATGTGGTTTCATTTTTATTTGTGTTCATTTACTTCAAAAGGAAGAAGAGTTTTAGAACGTCCAAATTTCTGATGACTGATGCATCAATAATTGAAACTTGTGCTCCAGAATGCCACTTTTCTCAGCAGTAGAGAAAGATTTGTATTAAAAGTATATTATAACCTGCACCTTCTTTAAACCGAATGAAACATTTGAAAATGCTGTCTAATGTTTTATAAATTTCTGAAAAAACCCAAAAGATAAACAAAATTAATAATGAACATAGTTTGTTGCGCGCTTTTGTTATGTTTACCAGCGGTAAGGACAAATAATATAACTATAGTCACAAGGATCGATTCAAGAAGCTTTACTTTTCATTTAGATTCATGCATCTGTTGAGGAAGACGTGCTGGAGAGACATAATAGTTATAGAGAAAAACACAATTCACCTGCTTTGACTTTAAATAGTCGACTCAGCAGAGAATGTGCTGATTACGCTAAAGTAATAAAAAAAATTAAATTCTGTACACCAGCTATGAAAGCATATTATGTGTCCGTCTGTGTATCGATCCTAATGTTAGCTTGTGTGTCCGTATATGACTTGACTTTGAATTTCCTTTGAATTTCCTTCTCCCGTTCACTTTATTAAATATTTGGATACAGAATAAGTTGGTAAGCAAGTTCATGATAATATATTTTTGTTTATTTGAAGGAAATAGCGCAGAAGGACGTGCTTAAGCCTTCGGGGGAGAACTGGTATGGCGAAAGCCTATGCCGAACAACTTACGACCCGACAACTTGTGTCAGAGACTGGTACAATGAAATCAAGGAATACGATTACGATAACCCAAAATTATCGAAGGAAACTGAACACTTTACACAACTAGTTTGGAAAAGCACCGAAGAGCTGGGAGTCGGTGTTGCCAAAGGGTAGGCCTCAGCTAATAATATCAACCTATGTATTATTTGTAATTCAATATTTGAACTCCTGCAGCGCGAGAGGCGACAGCTTTGTAGTGGCGAGATATGTCCCGCCTGGCAATGTGCCAGGCTACTTTGAAGATAATGTGCCAATCAAAGGTAGAAGGTAAATATTACATACCACTTACATACTAACATTAATAATTAATTATCCGCACACAGCACCCGGCCAACACATTCCATTGCTCTTATCATATGCATAGCGATCGCCTCCTTGTTAAATATCGCTTTTCTATTATGACAATCCAACGAATCCTTGCCAAAATAAAAGCTAAGTGGGTGCTTAAAACAATAAAAAAAATATGGTTTTGTGGCTGAAAATTGTAAATTGTCTTGTGTATGCAAAATTGTTAACTAAATGTCGTGAATAATATGGAATGGAATATCATTTTAATACTGATTGATTTTTTTAAGGAATGTTTTTTATTTTTTATTCATCATGGAATTTTAAATTGTTTTTTTTTTTAATTTTGAATAGTTTTTTAAGAATATCATTTTAATGCTGATTGTTTTTTTAAGAAAATTTTTTTATTTGTTATTTATCATAGAATTTTAAATTTGTTTTTTTTTTTAATTTTGAATAGTTTTTTAAGAAAGTTTATTTTTTGTTTATTGGCTTATTAGTTCTTTTGTACAGATCAGTTCTACCGGACATCGGAAAAAGGCAAATTTCGTACATACCTACGACAAAGGAGGTTAGGTTTCGAAATGTTTTCTAAAAGTTTCTATAACAATTATCGTTGTAAATACAAGAAAATAGTATGCTTTACTGGGCTCTGCTGTTTGAAAATTTCATAAGAAGCAAGAAAGTTATGCTCGATTCATTGCAACGCAATAAAGAGAATAAGTCTAACAGAAACATTTATTTTCAACAAATCATGATTTATGTGGTTTTTAATAAAATTGTGTTATTGATTGAAATTGAGGAACTTCATTGGCGAGCTTTACAGAGCTACCGTTATCTTTATGTAATTCACATAAAAGTAAATAACAAAACCCAGTTATTGATTAAAAAGGATTTAGTATAGTACATATTCATATTTTACAAATATTACAAAATAGAACAGAACTAGCCCTATCTAGTCAGCTACAAAGGCATGCACTGCAGTAAAAGCTTTGATTAACTACCAAAAGTTATTAAATAATTCTCAAAATACGTTCTCTCATGTCGTTATTAAATTGAGAAGAACGAACAATTTTCTTTTATAGCATACAATTGCACATTGAATACGTAAATTATTAACGAAATACCTATTTAGACAAAACGAGCCCACATACACCTAGTTGATCCTTAATATCTGTTCCTTTTTAACTCGATTTTTTATTTATTTTAATTTGGAGTTACTTGGCGCCTTTCGGTATGAAGAATTCCTTGGCTGTCCACGTTTGTTACATGGAAATTGTGTCGTCTTTGTATACGAAGGATATTGACATTTTATCTTAAATGTGAATTTTCAGTATTGCAGTATTCCTACTAGCTAGTTTTAACACGATTTATTGATTTAGCTATTACAATATTTATACTCTGTACATGAAATATACAATAGTATATTAGGTTTGCGCGAGCTGAAAAATGTAACAGGCAGAAGGAGGCGTGCTAGACCCCACAAAGTATATATATTCTTGATCAGCATGACAAGACGAATCGATTTAGCCCTGTCTGTCTGTCTGTCCGTCTGTCCGTCCGTATGATCACCTAGATCTCAGAGACTATAAGAGCTAGAGACACCAAATTTTGCACAAAGATGCCTTATGTGTGTACGCTATACGAGTTTGTTTTATTTTTTTGATTCCCCCCCCCCCCCACTTCCGCCCTATGGGGGTTTTCCCGATTTTCCATTCGTATAATCGCCTATATCTCGGAGACGATAAGACCTAGGCACACCAAATTTTAGTCCAAGATGTCTTGTGTGAATACGCAGAAAATGTATATTTTGGGATTTCCCTCCCTCCCCCTTCTCTACCGCAAATCGCGATTTTCTCTAACTCCCGTAATTCTTGGAATTTCGAACTAAAATTTTGAAAACACTCCCATTATTATGTGTCCGTGTGTCAAATTTCACTATAAATAAATATATTTGCTGCTGCAGCGGTGCTCAAGCGCTGCCCGCGGCTGTTGTTGATGCTGGTGCTTTGGTTGACTGCACGCATGTTTACACAGCCCGATTTAACAAGAAGTTATAGCCATAAATATATTTGCTGCTGCAGCGCTGCCCAAGCGCTGCCCACGGCTGTTGTTAATGTTGCTGTTTAGTTGACTGCGAAAATGCTTACACAGACACAAATACACGCACATAAACATACATACACTCACATAGACGCAATTGCTTTGTATATGTGCAATTATATACCCTTTACGTGAGTTCGAATACCGAGAAAGGTAAAATCGATCAAATTTTTTTAAATTTTCTTATTTTTTTCTATAATTATTGTAAACATATGTACAGAGTATTTCAAAGTCGCTTAGCTTTTTTACTTGTTATAATTATTTGAGTTCATATCCGATTTACAAAATGGACCTATTACAAGTATGTATTTTTTTTCGTTTTATTTGTTTGTGTACGCACCTGCAAATCCATACCTGTATACAGCCTTTATACGTAGTGTTTCTGCCTATATGTTGTACACATGCCTATATGTATTTATAAATTGGGGCACATAAGACATTGATAGAACAGGGAATGGGATATTTAAGCACGCCCATCAATGTGAAGCGCAGCACACAATAAATCTTCGTCACAAGCACAAATTGACATTTTACAACCAAACCAACGGATGCCAAAGTAAGTTGCAGCCACAGCCTCCATAGCCCGTATACCCGTAGCCATTGCCATTGCCATCGCCATCGCCATCGACACCGCCATAGCCACGGCTGCCAACCAACAACTGCCGCACACGTCTGGCGGTTCTATCGCCAATTTGGATGGGTTGTTGTTGCAATTGCTGCCGCTGATATTGTTGTCAACAATGATGGCCCAAAGCATCAGCCAGATGCGTTGCGGCACCAACTCATCGTTTGACACGCACACACAAAGCCCAACACACACACATACACACATGCTTATGAAGCTGTCACCCACAGGCAATCGCGCCTGTCAGCTCCTGCCCCTGCCACAGCCCCCACATTGGCACTATTCGAAGCACTGGAATAGGAAAAACTTTAATATCTGATAGCGGGCGTTCGTTCGCTTGTGTGCGAAAGTGTGTGCCTGTGTGAGTGTGTTGTACACTAATAGAGTTATCCTGCTGCCGTTGACGATATAAACGCATCGCATTATCCTTTCCCTTACGCGCATACTACGCATAGCACAATATAATTGCAAAATAGCACAACCACGATCCATCCACATGGCTTCCTTTTTTGGGGCAATCTGTCAGGCAGTCAAACGTCAGATGGCAAAACGATGAACATTTAAGGACCTTAATGCAAAAATGCATTAAAGCGCCAACTGCTGCCACTGCCACTGCCACGTCTGCTCCTGCGAAAGTCGAAACTATCCGCTGTGAAATAACATCGTTTGCCTTTTTTTATGAATGTGCAGGGCATGTTGATGGCAATTGAAGCACCAAAGTGGCTGCCATAATGACCGGAGGTCGCAGATAATGTTCATAAATATGCTCGGCACACAGAGCCATGCAGACCAGAGTTTGGTAAAAGGCTATACATACACACACGCACATAGCTATTTCCCCCATGAACTATGCACAGATTTGTTGTCAAATAAAAAAGTTGAGCTAGTTTGTTCTCAATGTCAAGTGTTCTTGAACATAATAAATATGTATGTAGTTAATATCAGCATTATATATACTCGTGTATACCATGTGGTTTTTAAAAGGAAAAATGAAAAAAAAAAAACAAAGATTTCGATGTCCAACTCAAAAATATAAATTAAAGAGCAATCAGATGCGTGAGTCTCAGAAGTCGTGATAAGGGTGCATGGAAAGTTGAAATACTTGAAAAAGTATAAATTGAAGAACTGAATCAAATGAAAGGAAATAAAATAACAACAAATACAAATCGAGTTAAAAATTAAACAAATTTAAAAATAGAAAAATCTAAACACTAAGGCGCAGACAACCGTACATCTGAAGCGGCGAAATGAAAATAAAATAAATAAACTCTGCCTTCCAGCTACATTTGGCATGTTCTCACAGTAAAAAAGGAAAGTGTTGGTATAAAAAATAAAATAAAATAGTAAATAAATAAAGGCTTCACGAAGCCATCTATCCGTCTCCGTTTATCTCAATTAAAATAAGCAGAAGAATTAGAATGAGTACACAAATAGAGAAACACTTTTGTTCTTCTTACAACTCTATATACCATTAATTTTGGATTTTGGTAACATATGTTGTGCTATCTAAGATTTTCCCAAGAACGTGTTTTCAAAGAATTTAAATTTGCACTTCTAATGCCGCTTTATTTTTGGCAGGAAGAAAATTATTTTTGTTATTGCAATCATAAAAATTAATATTAAACTTGTTTATAGTTTGACTGAAAATTTGAATCAATGCTTTGCAATGGTTGGACTATGGAGCTATAAGAGTTTTTAAGTACAAAACTTGGAATATTATCTACCCCAGAAGAGTATGAAGATTAACTGGAAATTAGACAAATATGAGTGTATGGAATGAGGACAAGAAATGTTGGAAGAATACGAATAAGTTGACTGCAAAAAATGGACAAACATAATTTGAAGAGTTAGTTTATAAATAACAGCGCCATTAAAGAATTTCATACAAGTTGCATTCAAAAACAGACTAGCAGTCAAATTAACTCAGCTGGAAAAGTTCCAGTAGTCCCTGCTCTTTGTTCAAAATAATAAATCTTTGATTACAGGCAAAAAGTAGCTGCATTCGTGAGCATTTCTTTCTGGGGGGACCAATGTTCACACGCTCGAATAATCTGCGTACGCAATTCGCACAGCTTTCAAAACTTGTTTGAGTTGTTTATTTTATTTTTTTTTTGAAACTTGCGCGCAAAACAAATAAAAACAACAACTATTACTTTTTAATATTTCGAACAAGAAATGTGTATTTATTTTCTACCTTTCAATTTTTATTTACAAGTATTTCAATTTCCAATGTTCTTTTCAGCTTCAAAGTTAAATAAACTCAACGCCTCAAAAATCCTAATCTCTTAATGTTCACAATTCTAGCTTTAGTGAACAAATAATAAAACAAATTAGTACGAGTACAATGAAAATTCCAATTAGTTTTAAAACTATGCCTAATGTCAATATTTGACACCCAAACTCAACTAAAATTGCGCTTCACAAAGACTTACACTGTGCCTGCCTTTTAGAAAGAAAGCAATTTTACACTCAAAATATGACACTGCGTAGCAATTTGAAATTTATTTGCTTTAAGAGTAAATCTATGTGGGTTATGAAAAGTAACCATTGCTAAACGACGTGATTTACTTGTATATGGGCTACACGAATTTATTGAGATGTGGGGAAATCGTTTATATATTTGTTCATTTAAATTGAAATTTTCTTGCAGCCAACTTTTTTTCTCACATATATATTTGTACATAGTATATAGAAAAATATTTTATGCAATGCTGCTCACTTAAATAATCTACGGAGAAATGCGGTTTTGCGTTCCTTGAGTGTTGACTTTTATCAACTTCCTGTCGGTTGGTGCCTGGCAATCTGCAGTTGAAATGCAGTCCTTCTGCTCCATCAGCGCATAACAAAGCCGCATGCATGTTTTTCTGTCATGCGGTGTCAGATGGAATAAACGACTAAACCATCACACATACTACCATCCATATAAATTGTTTTGTTGCTACGTGTGTTGCACATACAACTATACAAGTGCTTATGCGAGTATGCCTTAAAGTCAGAGGTTGCAACAAAACTTGGTTAGCACAGTCATCAGGACTTAGTTTGGTATACAAACGAATAACATAAAATTAAGCATTTGACTGAATTTTAAAACAGTATGCTAATTATAATTCTAAGCTAAATAATTCAATTGTGTTTCAACGTACGCATAGCTTCGTTGCGCTGAGTTTTAAATATATTGGTATAGTCTATGGAATTTCTTTCTTACTAAAAAAAATAAATTTTGATAATTAATGGTTTAATCAAAAATGAAATAATATTGTTAAAAGGAATATTCTCTTTGCTATGGAGAGAACGAATAAGTATTGATATCTCCGTGATAGCTTAATTAAATTTTAATGAAGTTCATTTAAATTTTAATATTCAGCACTCCCCTCTTAAACTGCCTTGTCTAACAAATTTGAATGCAATCCAAGCAGCTCTATACTGCCTTCATGTATTTGCTTACAAAGTCCTTCTGAAATGTATTTGTAAACGGAACATAAATATTTAGGATTATTTTATAACATTCAACTTTTGCTCTTAAAAAATTATACTTTTTATGGACATATATATAGTATACATATGCTTAGTGTTCTGTTTACTAATGTTGCCGCCCAACTTTTTATATTCATATTGCTAAGAAATTCAGTTTCTAAACGCTTAAATATTAAATATTCAATGAAACTCAAACAAATGAATATTTATCCAAAAAAAAGCTTTTAACATAAAATATATAATTCAATCAATATTATATCAAGTTTTAATTATGAAGTTTTTTAAAAAGAAATAACAATTATAAGTACTTTTAGCCGGTCTATAATTTTCCCTTATACCCACTTTTTGTATCGCCCTTTTCCCTTTCTGTGTACCGAGCATAAATGTATCCTAATAATAAATGTTAACTACGTTTTGAATCAACTGTCTAATAATTACACACATATGCTTTGAATTGTATTTAAAAACAGGCACAATGTATTTAACAAGAAATAAGAATGAAAAAAATTCTAAGTATATGGTTGCTCCTATTATCCCTGCCACTGGTTAGTAGACATAGAAATAGTTGGAAACTCACTATTCAGAGTGACGTGGTTGCTTCTTTCAGATTCCCGCTGATTTTGAGGACGATATAGTTGAGAAAATTAATTACTTCAGACGTCAACACAAAGTACCGCGTCTGAAGTTGAACAAAGATCTCAGCACTGCAGCCATGGAAGCTGCTTATGTAATAAGTATATTTAATATATAATTTCCGATCTTGTTAAAAACTAGATTCGTATTGATTTTCAAGGTTTATGCTTTGGGAAAATTTGCATATGTTGACAATCCACTGTCTCCGTACACAGAAAATGGTTGCATCATGAGTATACGACATCCTCCCACAGACTGCATAGAAAAATGGTACAACGAAGGCGCTAGCTATGATTTTAAAAATCCTAATCCTTCTATTTACAATAGAGAGTTTGCGGTTTTAATGTGGAGATCATCCAGAGAAGTAGGCATTGGCTATGCCATGACGTACGGACAAACTGTATAGTAGCTATAAACCCAAACCATAATGCACATATTTTGCCACAGACCCGATCTAATGAGCTACTGTATGATTGTGAGGCTGGCGCCGGCTGGCTTACAAGATGGAGAGTTCGAGCAAAATGTAACCCCACGAAATCAAAGGTAACTAGAAAAACATTTGAGAAATGCATTTTAAATAAATTATATCTTTTATAGCAATAATATGCAAATTAGCGAGGATGTCATCAAATTTTTGTGGATCTCTGTACTTCTACAGCTAATAATTGTAACTTAATCATTTATTACTGATCGTCAACTTATTTGTTAATGAGATGTTAATAGCGGTGATATAACTAATAAAGCTGAATAAATGAAAAATCAGTCCAGAGAACAAATAAAAAAATTTCTAATGCATCAAACATTATTTCTTTTAGATAACATGTGATGAAAATCAACTTTTCATTTCACAACATATTATTAAAACTCTTTAATCTTGTCACAAAAAAACACAATTTATATAAAGCTTTTAATCCAATAAAAATGTTAACGAAAATACAGCCATAAACATTTTAAATGAAATTTGCCAAATATTAAAGCATATATTTTCGTGGTTAAGGCTATAAAGCTTCGTTACCACAAAGAATTATTATATTGTTATAAAGCTATTTGAGTATAAATCTTAATTATTCTCATTAATAATGATTGTTAATAACAATCAACAATTGCCTTGAGGCCCAAAATATCGAGTATCCGTAATGTTGTCATAATGAAAACCAAGCCGCAATGAAACTGATACATCACATTACTTTAAAAATCGATGGATACACATACATACTTACATGTAGAAAGAACATCACTTGGTAGCCACAACATCCTTACCGCAGCATCCTTCACGGTATTTTACGTCTCCGTGCTGGCGTAAATAAATATGAAAATTAATTAAAACTTTTGCAAAATGCTCCACAAAAAAAGAGAAAGCAACAAAGCAGCAGACAATAAAAAGCTACCAAAATAATGATGAAGCCAGATTCTGTGCTATGGGTGCGGTATGCAGCCGCATTATGTTCTGGGGGGCCAGGAAGCGGCTCCTCTAGCCCAGGGTCAGTGTTAGCATCAGGGAAGCAGTGGCCGGCCTGGCAATGCGTGTGCCAGACGTTGCTGCCATTAATCCATCCACGGAGCGCACAATGCACAAAAGTTCATAACTCAAATATAAAACGCAGCAGGATATCGCTACAACAGTCAATTTCCGGACAACTTAAACTTGAAGACATCTCCTCGGGCTCGCCCAGGTCCGCCAACCCACGCATCCAGTTTGTTTGCCAAGTTTCTGCTCCACTGGATCTCAATGCTGCCGCCATGGGCGACACCGCACTTGCTGCCACATCTGGCCCCAATGAATGACGACGCTCTGGCGCAGCCGTTGATGGGTCGGTCGGCAGCCATTCCCGTGCGCTTGACCCACACATACCCACACTCACCGGCGGTGGTCAGGGCAGCAGCTAACAGGCACATCATGTTGGCAAAATGCCGGCACAGCTGAAAGGTGGAGAAAAAATATTAAATTATTAAAACATCACCGGATGTCTATTGAAAGCAGCGCCAAAAAGCTCAAAGGAATGTGTCGCAGCTGCTGCCCTCCGCCTGGGGATTGGCAGCTGTTTGAGGATAGCTCTGCTGCTGCTCAATATACTCTCTAGAGGGCCAACTTGGTAGGCTCTAGTAATTTCCGCCATGCGAAAAGGAAACGTTAATAGAAGAACTAGTTAGCATTCCTGGCATTATCTTCGAAATACACAGAAGAATATTGATGATGGAGCATGTTCTGAAAAATTCTGCAAGCATGGTTGCTTTCGCAACAAAACTGCTAGTTAGCTATTAGGGAAAGTAATGGTAATTACAATATATCAGATTTCTATTTTTTTTATTTATTTAAGGGTCTTTAAGACTGTAATTCATGCACAGTCTGATACTTTAAAGTAATCTGCACTTAATATCAATCGCTTTATTGTTACAGAAACATTGAGAATTTAATTTAAGCACACTCCTAAGCTGGAAATAAGAGCTTCACTTAAGCCTAATTTTAATTCCATCGGAATTCGGAATTTAATCTGTTTGGAACGACAACAATTTTTAACATAATTTAAAATTTAAACATAATTTTAACATAGCTCTAATCTACAAAGTTACATTCGATCTCTCGCAATGTCTTACAATCAATGCAATATAGTTTTTCTGTAAAAGTGACTGAAACAAATAGTACCACCACAAATGAAAAAACTTATGTAAAATATATTGTATATTCACACATCTGAGAAAAGTGACTGAAACAAATAGTAGTAAGTACTTAAATGCCACTGCCCGTAAACAATACAAAGAGCACTTTTTGCGCAGCTAAAGAATAGCCTTTTATATGCAAATAAAGTGCAGTGTTTTTATATTCCCAAACAAATATTTTAAAGTTACTTGCAAATGGTCTGCCACTGTCCACGAGCCATTAAAATGCAGGTTGCAGCACTCGTGGGTTTAAAATGCGCGCCAGACCACTTCACGTGAATGGCCACAAAAATTAAATGAAATCTTTTACGCAACTAACTTTGAATGGCTTTTAAGCCTTTCAAGCAGCACCCTATATGTGTGTGCGTGTGTGTGTTAAACACGAGTCCAATACTGTGTGAAAACTACAATAAAATATAAACAAACTTTGCGAGAAAAAATGGCGAAGAGGCTCTGAATCGTTTTATTCTGCATTTGTGGGTTGCAGACTTGGTTTTAATTTTAACAAGAGAGCAAGTCCGACAGTAAAATAGCGTGTACTCTCCACAAAAATGGAAAATTAAAAAATATATATATTATAAAAATACTTATAAAGTACTTGCCAAATCTGACTACAATATTCCAGAAATGGCGGGAGTTATGGAAATAGCACGAATTGCGGGGGAGTGGGAGGGTGTATCAGAAAAAGAACACAAACTCGATCTGCCTGGGGCTTAGGGGAACCTGAATGCCAGGTTTGGTTATCCTAGCTATTGTACTTACTGAGATCATTGGGCTCATACAGACAGACAGTCGAACGGACGTACGGACGGGCATGGCTATATCGACTCGACTTGTCTGCCACGCCTCCCTCTGTGTGTTACATACATTCGCACTAAACTAGTATACCCTTTTACCCTTTGGGTACAGGCTGTAAAAACGAAGCAAATACAGATTTCCGCATACAGGTAGGAGTGGAAGGTGCTGGCGCATGAGGGTACTTCGCCGATATGGCCAACTACTTTAGTGCTCCTTATACGTGATTTATGTGTGGAAGCTGCAACAACAACAGCATGGCCAGCGACAAGACAAATTCTGAAGTACAGCCGCGTTTTCCAAACCACATGCATAGCTATATAATACTTGTAGTTATGTATATCTATACACACAGACATAGACGCCTTTGGACTTTGGATAACTTAAATGGCTTATACTTTGCGAATTTTTCGGTGAAATACCTATAAATTCTCGCTCGTTCTTTGTCTAAGTGGGAAAGTACAAGATTCCGTTACTGCAGCCACAACTCTACACCATTGACGTCGTCCTAGCTCTTGTTATCCTTTTGTATGTGTATGTGTGTGTGTGTGTGTGCGCGGCACTTGTAAAACTTTCAACTTGTTGTCTTAAAACTTGTTTCGTGGCTGCGGTAACGTTTAAGTTTTTAGATTATGCACCTTTAATCTCAATTTGGGCTTATTTTCTAGAAATATATTAAAGCTTATCAAGTGTTATCCTAAATTAGTGCAGGAATCGCCATGGGTTGCAAGAAATTGCTATTTCCATTAATATATACAATAGGAAATAACCTAATTTAAATATTAAGTACTTAATAGCAGTCAAATAAAATTGGTTATAAATTTAAAAATAGTATAAATTATAGCCTATTAATGCAGTAAAATATATTTATCTATGTTTAGACTGTCAGGCATGCAAATATCGTCACAGCGCCACCAATACCAGCTGCCCATCGCAGTATGCTACAGTTTTCTGCTGCCTACATCCGGCAGGACTAATACTTACATGATGTATCAGAGAATATGTACATGGTGGCACTACCACTGCTGACAATTGATACCAACAAAATGAGTTCCTAATATTCATCCGCATCTCGCAATCAGTCAGCCAGTCCAAATGAAACAAAGAAGTCAACGACAATGACTTCAACATATTTGCCAGTCAGCCAGGTATGAAGACAACGTCTATATAGCGTAATTTACTCTCCTGTCTACCGATTTTTTGTTGCTAAGAAATTTAAATAGGCATTGTCAGCAATGTTGCTAACTAAATTACTTTATTTCCAGATGCCAGAAAATCATAAAAGCGTGCTCTGTCTTTGATGGCACTGGTTGTTGTCTAAATTAATGAGAATTAAATCGCAAACTATCCCGCCCATAGGAAATTTCTGCTCCTTCACTGCTATGAAGCACTTTCAGACTCATAAGATGATGAATGAATTCATATCACATGATATTTATTTTTTAAGGACGATCAATCAATAGTCCATGTGGAACCACGCTTCTAAAAAAATGATTTTTAAGAAAAGAATACAACATTTTACTTTAGAATTCTTCTTGGCTTTACTTTAAATGTATAACAATTTATTTATAAGATAATTGTAGAACTCGTCTAATATTTGTATTTGTTTGTTTCTTTTTCTGAATATTTTTTTAACAATTCTAATATTATTATTTATGTTTATATTTTAGCCAACTTATTTTTTTATATACATACATATTAAGCTTACATAACTTTATTTATATTTTTTATTTATTGTTTAAATTTATTTGATTATTTTAAAATCAAGCTCTTATTTGTAATATCAAATGTCCTCAAAACTGTGATATTTGTTTTTAAATTATGTGCATGGCTTTTTTGTAAGCTGAATATACTTATACTGCCTTTGTTTTAACATTATTTGTTTAGTAAATATAATCTTTTTCCAATATATTAATCCTCATATAGGGGATTTGGTGGCTAATATCTTTCTTTTCTTCATTTCATTTGTGGCTAAGCAAAATTATTTATATCTATGCATTTATTATAACAAATAAAATTGCTAAGCTAACTGTATACATTACTTACTAAATTCAAAATATAAATTTATACTATTGTTCTTATTCTGAACACTTCAGAAGCTTTATTAATTTGGCTGACCTTCGACCGCGCACAAGTTCTGCCCGCAATAAGGAACACATGAAGGCACATATATATTTAAAATTTAAGTAAAAAGTTAACCACAAGCAGGAAATTGCCTTTTTGGTATTGTGGTTAAACCAAAAGGGAACCAAAAAGCAAGCAACTAATCGCCCATAATTGCGCACGAATCGCCTAATTTCGCAAATTCA